TCTTTACAGGAAAGAATCCAAGCCCGGCCTAACCCAGAACAGGTGAGAAAGCAATTTATTAGCTTGGTCGTATGTTTAACCTTCTTTTAAAAAAGAATATATAGCTACACTTCTGCCCATATTCAAGAATGTCCTCAATTTCAGAGTACTGTGGATAACTTAACATTGCTGTCTCCTTTGAAAGTGTGGTCAGCTTGAACTCGAGACAGAAGCCTTATGGCCAGACCAGAACTGAAGCCTCAGAAGGATAATATTGCTTAGAGAATGCAGAGGGGCTCTCATCCACTTGGAAGCAACTCCAAGTGTTGGTTACAGTGTCCAGTGCAAAAGCAGAGGACATCTTCTATGGTGGCATGTGTCAGCCACAAGGTAGTGTAAAAACAGTACAGACAGAGCATTCTGGTCTAAGCATTTCCAGATGATTTGGGATGCTTAACCATCCTTATTGGATAATGGCAAGTTCTCATTTGAAGGACATGGGAATATCTGCCACCAGAGGAAGAAGGATTTTATGTTGGCTTTATTCTGGAACCAGAGATTTAGCTGCTTTCTAAAAGTCATGTAATTTTTTTCAAACCCAAATCCACATTCCTGTTGGTTTTATGTTTTTCCAGCTTTAATTCCCTACTTAGTGCACTAAAGGAAGTTATGACTAGAGGCCTGTTTCCAATATTGCTTTGTAGTTGTCAATAGGTAAAAATAACTGGTTTTATATTTCTGGTAAATCAAATGCTCTTGTATATCCAGGCATTGAAGGACTTTCTGGCCAGACAGAAGACTGGCAGGATGGCTACTGCAGAAGAAGTGGCCCATCTCTTTGTGTACTTGGCCTCTGATGAAGTAAGTATAGACAATAAAATGTCCTGACACAGAATCCCATGCTACTTTGCTGCCTCACAGTAGAGAGGGTATTTGTTTCAGGACAATTTGCATTCTCTTTGAGCTGGACTATTACAAAAATTAAAACCAAACTGTGTTCTAACTGAGTTCATCCTGCAATACGAAAGGTATTCTGAATGTTGACAGTGATTGCAAGGCATTATGTATTTGACTGCCACAGCCTGGTGGTTTCATGTCACCCGAGCAAATTGACTGACCCCAGGTCACCCTGAATGGTGAATAAAATGAGCTTGTCAGCTTTACCAAGCTTGCACCATGGCTAGATCATGCTTTAAGGAGGCAGAATTAGTAGAGCTACTGGACATTTTAGCTAATGCTCAGGGGGAATCTGCCATCCCAGCATAAGGAAAACAACAGACTCACTGTGGTTGTTACACACCAGACTCCTGAAGACCACTGCAAACAGCACCAGCACTAATGAGCACACACCAACGTTATTTCAGCTGCTATACATTTACTGAGGCTAAAAACTGGACTGGATTTGTCTGGGTGTGTCCAGCAGTCCTAATGTCCATGTCAAAGTACTTCAGTGGATTTAGCTCAGTATTAATGTTGCTATCTATCAGTAGTCTGTTTCTCAGTTTCATCTTGGTTTTAGTATTTCCATAATGCTAATAATTTTTTCCAGTCTGCTCAGAGGGTTTTCAATTGTGTGTAAACAATTCCGTTTTTCCAATGTATTCAGCAGTGACATGAAGAATGTCAACAGCTCAGCTGCGTACTCCACTATCCATATAATCTTAAGTTTTTAGTTAGGTCCCATTATAATAATTGGCTGACCTGGTCAGATTCTGCTCAGCTGAACAGACCTAATAACATCACAGTGTGAGGTATTTACTCCTGCAGGTAAGATATCTAAAGTCTAGCTTTTGTAAATTTGTAATCTCAGGATGCATTCTCATCTTAATGCTGCTAGTAATACTTTTGCCACACTTCCTTGAGTTAAGTAAAAGGCTTCAATTTCTATGTTTGTCTCTATTTAGATATTATATTACTTACTCAGGTATTTTTGTAAAACAAAAAAAAAAGTGTATAAAAAGACAGCATATTTTTTTAATTTAAGAAAGTGTTTTTCTGTAATTAATATCTGTGAAAAATTATTTGAAATCATTGTTTATTTTATGTAATTTCAGTCTGCCTATGTGACTGGTAATGAACTAATCATCGATGGAGGATGGAGCTTGTGATTGACTTTACCTGCAAACAGAAATTCATACTATGATGGGCAAAAAATTAGGATGGTGTTTCTTGCAAAGACTGAGATCATGCATGTGATGGCTTTCCAAACAAATTTGCTGCTCTCTCTAGATTGATCTTACTGATTAACTTTTCCTTAAATAGAGAAACACTGGAGTAAAACATACTTCATGTGGCTTCAATTTATAGCAACTCCAAAAACATGAAAGAACAGCAGTTTAATGTTTAAGATTTCAGGAGGCCAAAAATATTATTCACGTTACAAAATCTGTGTTGTGTTTTAAGCAAAGTTTGAGTGAAAGAAATTAACTGTTATCTTTATTCTCATCTTACAAGGTATTTGGAAATTAAATACTCACAATTAGATTTTCATGTACAGGAACAACTATGCAAGGGCAATACTCTAGCAGGTATAGATGGGGGTATATGTGAGAGGAGTATTCTTAAATACATGGGTGGATCTTCATGAATATGCTTGTCTTGTAGCACAAAAGCAAAAGGAATGGGTTTTATCACTCTAGATAGAGCCAATATATTTGTCTCCAAAATGATGTACTAGTATTGGACAAATTCTGTAAAATGTGTTGCTAGGTGCTGCACTTTGGTGCTCTATGCCTTATTCTCAAGTACCAATACAGCTCACACTAAAGCACAAAGAAAATTTCTCTGAAAAGGACTGCTTCTACAAGAATCAAGAATATGTGCTGATGTTTTTTATTGTGATAGCACAATATGGTTGCTTTGATTCATGAAATAGAAACATATTATTGTCAAGTTTCATACTCCGGGAAAAAACATAGGTCCTGACCCAGAGATGTAGGGCAATGAATAACCTGAATTCACAAAGCATTTGTTTTGCTAACATACTGCTTGAAACCAACATGAATTACATGGTCTGGCTGCCTGTAAGTATGGTTACCTTTAACACAGCTCCATTTATCTAGTTCATAAATGAAACTCTATGTAATTTAATACATATCTTCATATACATTATATACATATATATGTGAGGGAGGAATTAAAGACTAAATGCTACCGAATATGATTCATCAGTAATCAAAGCACAGGAAAAATGTACAATATTGTGTGTCTGTTTCTGTAAGAACAACTGCCATGTTTATAAAACAATTGTTTAAGCTTTTCAGTATCACCTAAAGCATTAATATAACTTAGTTGATTTCAAGATAATGAAATGCATCTAGTTAAAATCTGGCCTCTTATTTTAAAATAATTGTATGTAAATCTAGATTTTACAAATGAAAAAACTATTGTGGCTGTTGACTTCATTGGGCTCATTATGGGCTTAACGTTTACCTTTAATAATGGTTGGAGCATTCTGACCTTGTGTAGTTTGTTTATGGGGCTTTAGAGAATCTAATATTACAATCAAGTGACCCTGGCAGCCAAGCAGGATCAAGCTGGGGCACAAATCCATAGTTATCCAAAATTGCTCCCAAAATGTTCACTGAAATAAATTCAAATATCAAAAAATTGAGGCTGGCAGAACATTATTTCAATGGTTTCAGAGTTCAATATGAAGGCCAAAGTCCTCCTTTTGTAGTAGGTGCAGAAGGCTTACCTTGAAAAGGGAAAATTTCCCCACTGCAGTAACACAGGGAACAAACATGTACTGTGAAAATACAATTAAGAATCTGAGAGAAAATCATTATACTTATTACACATTGCCCATCATTACTTAACCTTTAACTCACTTAGTAGAGCTGCTGCTCAAAAACGGCTGCTCTGTTGTTGTCAAAGCACTTGTGCAAGAAAATAAGTACCACTTGCCTTTAAATTGCATTGAAGGCACAAAGAGCATTTTTTAGTGGTAGACCAAATATCTGGTGGACAAGAAAAGTAAAAATCAGTAGAGTTTGCTGCCTCTTGCCTTATTAGCAGTGCTTTTCATGGAGGTGTTAACAGTTGCAACTTTGAAATGTGTTCCAATGTCATGAGGTTTTTCAGCAGACTTGCAGGAATTATTAAAGGAAAATGCTTCTTAATGCTCTCATGACCTAATTCCATGGTCTGTTTTTAATGGAACTGGGTAATTCTCTTTGTTTTCCTTCCACCCCAGTGATAATATAAAGAGGCTTTTTGACTTTTCAGATTCTAGGTCAAAGTTGTCTCTTGTGGGGGAGAGAGGAATAGACTTCCCTGATTCCGAGTCCTTCTGAAAAATTTAATCTGATCAAAAAATTATTTCGTTTTCCCTTGGATTTGTAGTCAGTTTTGTTCTGTGTGATGACACCAGGAGCAAAGCATGTGTGGCATTTGACTTTCACATGGACTCAGTGCAGCTGGCAAACTTAGGGTTGAGAAAAAGATCTGTCTTTCCTCATGTGCACTTACAAATTAGGTGGATGACTTGCTTTATCAAGTCGGGATGGGAACAACATAAATATGCAAATTGTGTTTGTTTTGGGGTGGTTTTGGGGATTGGTTGGTTGGATTTGTTTTTTTAAAATTTCTCCTGCCTGCCCCAGTGTGTTTGGTCTGTGTGCACCCGGAGCAGAATCAGCAACAGCTCCTCACCCTTTCCTTGCACCTCATCTCCAATTTCTCCGGTGCTGTAGTCTGGGTTAAGGATGGTGTGTAGCTTCCCTGTGCATCTTCCCACAGCCATGGGAAAGGCAGCACAGAAAGATGCAGTGAATGCCACGGGCGACTGGCTACGAAAGAGAGAAAAATCTTCCTCTTGGGTGCCCTGACGGGTATCCAAGCCTTGGATGGGCTCAGGACTGCTCCCATCGCCTTCACCAAGCTGACAGCTCGGACCGCGGCCCGTTTCCTGCCGCCTTTCCCGCGGTGACCCGTTCAGCGAGGCCTGCGGGGAGCCCTTCGGGGCACCCCCAGCAGCAGCCGCTGCCCTGGCGGAGCTGTGCCTGTGGAGGAGGGCCTGTTGCGCCAGCAGCAGCAGCGGGGGAGGAGGAGCCGGAGCCGCAGCCGTGCAGCGGGCTGGCCCCGCTCGGGGCCGCGCCGGCCGGAGGCTGCGCGGGGAGCGGGTCCGTGCCTGTGGGCCCCGCCGGGGTGAGCCGCAGGTAAGTTCCGTGCCCCTCTTGAATCGCTGCCCCCGCATCCCCTGCAGCAGGAGGAGCGACCGGGGTGGGGACGGAGAGCCGGCTTGGCAGGCAGGAGGCTGCTCCCGGGTTTACTTGGCGCCTTTTTGTGGGTAATGATGGTTTGGGTGTTTTAATCGTTGTTTATTCTGAGTGCCAGATGCTGCGGTGGGGTTTGTGGTGTTTCGTCTGCATGGCTTTCTGTGCCTGCTGTGTGCAAAGCAGAGCGCTGAGAGTCACCTCATGCCGTGCTGTCCCTGCCACTCAGCTCTCCCTCACTGCCCCTCAAAAACCACCGGAACGAGAGGATCTAATGCAAGCCTTTCTGCTCTCCAAACGAGAAAAGTGTGTTTTACAGGGAGGTACTAAAATAGGTCTGTTACTGGCTGGTTTCCATAGGATAGGCCGTAACCCTGAGGTATAAATTTGTCTCGGTGATTTCTCAATCACTGATTTTTGTTGGCATAGGAGATAAAATTGAAAAGGGAAAACAACCCCGCTCCCCCCAAAATGACACAAAACCTGTGAACTTCCAGAAGACCCATGCTGGCATAAGTAACTACTCATTTTGGTCCCGTAGATCCAAAGGAGAGTTCTTGGAAGCAGGTTCTTGATGCTGCCAGCAGGGTGAAGACCTGGCACAAACCAGATAAGGACAGCACTGTCAGATCCGTCATTCACTCCCTGAAACCTTGCCTGTTAAACAGAATATTCAGTATCTCTGCTTAGTCCATCTTGCCTGTCCCACACGCTGCTGTGAACAGCACTTTCAGGAGCTGAAGCTGTGGTGAGGTGTACTTGCCCTTCTCAGAAGTATTAATTAATTAACTCTTAGAAGTTTTAATCAATTTTGTGTCAACAGCTATGTGACTGATCTGGGATGTTGCCTTTACAAAGCTGGATGGAGAACAATGTCCTTCTGTCCTTTGCTTGCACACAAACCAAGTGCAAAATTAAGTACATAAATCCACCCTGGGAAAGTGGTCAGTGAAGGGAAGGAGGGAGACATTGGTAGGTTGCTGATGCTTTCTATTCCAGTTAGGAGGATTGGCATTTGTGAATTCCCAGTCCCAATGAAAGGATGGAAGAAAACCAAATCAAAAGTATCACCAATGTCATTAAAAAACCTAAAACCCTAAAAGCACAACTATTTGGTTCTGCAAGTACTAATTAAAAATACAGAAAAGTACTGAAAATTGAATAAATAAACACTTCAACTTTAAATAGGAAAGGGAAAAAAAGCAAAACTATTAACTTACAACACACTGAAAATGTTTACTTATAGCTCTGTATTCTTCAGCTGTGCCTTGGTCATGCCTCAGGCCAGTTTCATATCAGAACAGCTCAAACAAAACCTCATAGGTGTTAGAATGGCCCTTTTCTTTATGGTATCAGCCTTTCCCAAATATCAAATATTTCATTTTAAACTCGAAGCATGATAATTGTGAGAATCAGCTCTGACTTAATTCCAACCATCTAGCAAGGAAGGAATTTCTTGGCTCAGAAGTTCTGGCTTTTCTTCCCTGGTGTTTTATATGCCCAGAGCAATGTAAAAGACTGAAAGAAATTTAGCTGATGGAGAACGTATGCCAGCTTTTGCTGTAAGAGAGAACTCTATCAAGCCTTGTATCCAGATATAGGCCTGCCCCCCTTGATAGCTCACACTTGTGAAACTACAATAAATACGTGCACCAAAAAATACCTGACATACAAAACAATGCACTTCCATATCTCTTGTTAGAATCTATGGGACAAGTAGTGGACCAGTTAGAGTTGAGGAAATACAATGGTAACTATCCATGAATTACTTGGATCTTGCTTCCCAGTCTGAGAAGTACCTCCATGGGACATAATCAGTAAGAAAAGAGCCATGTTTAATCAGGCTGCAAGCTGTGAAGAGTCCTGATCTTTATTCAAACAGGCATCTTCACTTTCTTACGAACACATTGACTGAGTATCTGACTAGTAGCACCTAGAGAAAACACATTGTTGAAATTCCTCTGAAAATCAAACTAGATCAGTCAGGCTTAAGTTGGGGGAAAAGTGTCCCCTCCTGAAGTTTTAGAAACCTCTTAAGAGTTGTAGAAACTATAGTTGTTCTAACTTTATTGGAGAGTCACTTGCACTGAAATGTACACAGGACCTGTGACACTTTCAGAGCTAATGACTCTGCTAAGTCGTGCTGATAGCAAATAACCTTTTTTATGTGCTGAAAGGAGGCACAAATAGAGAAAGATTACAGCCATAGTTTTAAGAAGGAATGAAGAGGTTAGATTAGACAATTGTGATTCTAAAACTCAAGATTTTTTTTTTTTTGTTCCTGAATTTCTAAGCTTTATACTGTTCTTCGGTTAGTTTCTGTCTCTTAGGTACAGCGTACAGAGGGACACAGAAAACATTAAACTTGAAATTGGGCTGAGAGGATTTTTACACATGGTCTGTGGAGAAAAGACATCACTGAGAAGTCTTCCATTTGGAAAACAGTGTTTATTTGCTTCTCCTTAACTTTTCCACCTTTATTTCTTTCTTCAGGTCTGCAGCGATGGTAAGGGAAGATGTAAAGGACAGTGAAGATTCTGAACCATCAGTATGTGAGAGAAATGGCATGATTCCCATGCATGAGCAAAGCGAGGTAATTAACTAGGATCCCAAAGTATCATTCTAGTCAGAGAGAACCTTCCTGTTCCTTTTTTCCTTTTTTAAAATTAGAATTCTTAATGTAAAAGGCACTTAAAAGTAAGCATATGGTATTGAGTGCATCTCATATAGATGTTTATATGGCACATTTTTATGTACATGGTGATCACAGAATCATGGGGTAAACAAGTAACTCCATGCTGGAAGCTCACAGGATTTGTGTTCCAGTCATGACTCTGAGTAAGGAATATGTATATATATATAGAGAGAGAGAGAGAGCAGGAAGAGACTGAAAAGTAATCAGAAATGTGGAACTATTACTGGAGAAGGGCCAAACCACATTATAAGCAGAATTCCATGTCTACAGTATGACAATATGCTGACATGAATAATCATACGGAAGGCAGATGATTAACTTGTCAAAAATAATGCTAAAATATCCAAAAATGGTCAAAAAGTGCTTTGGTTATGAATATGAATAAGTAGATGTACCAGTATAAGAGAACACCTTCAAGGGAATGACTCCAGTTGTAGTATTTCTCCCTCTCTACTTCGACTTACCAGCTTGAGCCTTCCAGCAATGGATCATGTGAGTAAAGTTTGTGCTGGCCAGCTCTGCTGTTGCCTTCATCTTTGTTTTGTTATTTTGGTTCAAGGCTTTGCAACAGTAGTTGTTAAGGAGTTATATTAAATAAGTACCATCTCAGTGGAATGATGCTAATCGTTAATTCTATTGTGAAATCCAGTCTGGAAGCAGAACCTTATCAAATTGTAGAAAATACTAATAAATGTTTAGTTATGTACACAAGACAAGCTCAGCCTGACCTGCTATTTTTGTTTCTTCATCAAATATGCAAATATTGTTACTGCACCGGTGCTATATCTATTGGGACAGGAGCCCTGTCAGGTGCAGATAAAAAGGCAAATGTCCTGCAGTTTCTCACATGCAGTTCTTGGTGCCATGCAAAAAACAAACACAGGGCCAAAATGGCCAAAAATTGTCTCAAAGCTGGACATTCCTGTAGTGGTTGTTCAGTTAATGTGGTCACCTGTAGCCAGTGGGGATCCAGTGCATCTCAGCTGACTTCAGGTGGTGCACACTACTTCAAGTACATACAGTGCCACTTCTGAGGGATTCTCCATGTTTGCCTTCCGCAGGGACCAGCAGCAGGTGCCAAAGGTACTGATGGGAATGCACAAACAGAAGAAACTGCTCTCTTGAACCACTGCACTCAACAACCTCCAGAACCAACAGCAGGGTCTTCAGTACCTGCAAGAACATGGAGGCAAATATTTGCTTGTCCTCCTCAGGGTTTACTGGCCCAAACAGTGACAAATGGTAGGTAAGAGGGACAGAGTTTAATTAAAAAGAGAAATGGCAAAAGAAGTACTTTTTTCTCTGAATGGGATGATATCTGTCGACTGTCCTTGAAAATAATGAATGGAAATAGCTGTGTTTTACTTACCACACCATTGTTTGAATGTTTTAGCCAGAGGAAAAAAATAAGATGAAACAAAGGTTTGAATGTACAGTTTTTGTTTCTCCAGTCTCATATGTTTACTATGGGAGGTATGTTTTTGCACTGCAAACTATTTTTATCACAAGAAAGACCTCCTAATTTTTGTGTTGATAGTTTGTCCTTAGTACTACAGGCTTGCAAAACCAAGATTCCTCACTACAAGGCAAACTGACCTATTTTGTTTAGAATTTGTTCTAAACTGAAAACTCCCAAAAGAGATGCCTGGCTAGCCAATTATTTAAGGTTTTTCCTAACAAAATAAATTTCATGTGTCTTTGATTGCTTCCACGGCCACTTGGAATTCTTAGGCTTTTCTGTTTGGAAATCTACTGGTCTTCCTTTGCCACCTGTCACCCTCAAGTAGGATTAAGAAAACTCCAATCTGAAAATGGAGGACATTTATTCAAAACATTTTTTATTCTCCTTCAGTGTTCTGTTTTATATGTATGTGTGCCTGTTCTCATTGGGCAACCATTGGAACAGATTTGTGAACCTTGAAAGACCCTAATGTTTTCACATATTTTATAATATTTTCACACACTGTTCTCATAATATTTTTCAGGATTTTTTTCCTCCTCTGTATTATCCTTCTTTGATTGCTGTATCAAGGGAAGTATTTGTACTCCAGATGTCCAGAGACATGACCCTCTTCAGAATTTTCTTCCCAGGGATCACAGTTGCACAATTTCAATTGTGAACATATTGCACAAACACATTCAGCCAAAAAATTACACTTCAGTTATTTTAGAAATTAGACTGGAGCTGCATTCATCAGTTTGAAGATACAGCCATGCTGTCCAGAGACATGACCCTCTTCAGAATTTTCTTCCCAGGGATCACAATTGCACAATTTCAATTGTTCAACAGTAGATTTTACTGTGGTTCTGAAGTAGCTGAAGGAAGATAAGCAAATGGAAGATAAGTTAGTGAAAGTCTTTGCTTTAAGTTTGGAACCAATGAAGTGCTTTTCACAGCAGACCAAGGCTCACTAAATTTATTTTTATGTTTCATGATGTTTGTGTTACCAATTTTAAAGTATTTTAGCATGTATAAAATCAGAACATCAGTTTAGGGACCATGAAAGATTAACTGCATTGTTATGATTAAATTAATTTTTAAGGTAAGTCATTTCATTTCTACAAGTCATGACTAATGTTTTTCTTCAATAGCAAAACAAATGTGACCTAACAGCAAAGTGGTTGCTGAGAGATGATTAAATGTTAATTATTTTTTGTTTTGTTCCAGTTGCATTTGTTGTTCTCGTTTGGGCTGTGGTTTGGTCCATAACTGGGGCTGAGTGTCTCCCAGGTGGAAATCTCTTTGGAATTCTGTTTCTTTATTTCTTTGCTGTCATCGGAGGTAAAATTTTTGGATTCATTAAAATACGAACACTGCCCCCTCTCCCTGCTCTTCTGGGTAAGAGATCCTTCTTTCCTTCCTGCATATTTTGTGTTGTTTAAACCATCAAGTAGTATCTGTATGGGTGGATGTGTTTGGATTGGGAACAAATAAACTGTCACATTCAAAATCTGTAGCTTTTCCAAATGACTTTTTCTGGTCCTCTCTAAAAAGGTACAAAATTGCCCAGACTGGCTCAGGTGAAATTAGCATCTTAATTCTTTGCGGGTCAGAGGATTGTTTGCGTACAGATTCAAAGTTTATTGTCCATCAGACCCTTCTGTCACAGTTACTTAAAGTTTGGGTTTAATAATAGCAAACAGGAATCTTAATCCAGATATCATTTTACAGTAATCTCTTTGCAAAATTGTTGCTGAGCTGTTTCTTTAGTGTCTCATACAATGAAAGTGTTTTCCAAAGAAAACATTACAGCAATTCCCTACTACTCATAGTCCAAAGGATTTCTTTCTTCTCCTTCCTTTATCTCAAGACAATTGAAACCTGAGAAAATAAATTCACAACAAGGAATAATTCTTCTGCAAAGAGTTATTCTGATTCAATCACAACTTTTTTTTTCACATCAGCATCTTATTTTATCTTACATAGAAATGCAAAATAGAAATGGGAGATGAAAATAACGTAAATCCTGACATCTTTAAAATCTTTTCTGGTTTCTTTCCTAGAGGAGTTTTTATACTTGCTTAGATGAGTACAATATTTTGAAGCGCTGTGATGTCAGTGAAGCTGGAAATGAAGCTCCAGGTTCTTCTCAGCAGCTGCATGCTGTCCCCTTGCTGTGTTTAGTGCACAGATAAGTATAGCTGCTGACAGACAGTAAAACTGCTTGGTGAGGTGGGCCAGGTGTGACTCTGTACCTGCACAGCTGGCGTTGTGCCTCACGCAGGAGCTCCACACACGGCTCTGTCCGTGCAGCCTCTGCGCTCTTGTGCTGCTTAGTTTCACCAGAGGAAAAAAATTCAAATGAGAGGGAGGGAGGTTTTGCATATGGCATGCATACCTGCAGTATGAACACAGAATATCACATGCAAGGAGTCTGCCCTTTCTAAGTAAACACCCTCTTAAACAAATAAAAGTATTTCTGGCCACTTGGGTTCTGCTTGTTTGAGAGTTTTTTAATTACATGTGTATCTGAAAGTTATGAGTTGAGCATGAAACTGCTTGTCAGACAGGTAATACTGGACAACAGAAATTTCAGCATGACAGCACATGTCTCTTGAGTTGTTTAGGACAGAGTTCGTTGTTCCAATCCCCAGTCTTTGAGGAAAACTGGAGAAATCTATGACTCAGAAGACGAGACAGACAGTGTCTGTGAATATTCTGTTTTTACATTAAAAATTCAAACCATGTGCTCTTACATGCCTATAAGCCACTTTTGCTAGGTCCAGTGTAAGGTGGCTGGCTGAGCACTTAAGTACCTTATTGTGAGCCTCTCTCAGGAAAAAAAGGAGTGAAATTGGTACTGAAACAACCAGTAATATATTTTAGGTGCATGTTGCAGAGAGGTTTCTGCAGCAGGAAGAATGGGGTAAATCAGTTAAGGTATCCTTTGAGGTGGAGATTTTTTGCTTTGTTAAGTAGATTCCTAGATCGGGGTAGGTCCAGTGACTTGAACCTCATGCAGATGTGGCAAAGAGCATGTGATCACAATGCCAGTCTCATATAATTGTCATGAGGTACCACAAATTAATTATGACACTGTTTTTTTCCAAGAGGTGGTGGAAAGAACAATGTCTGGAAAGTTTAGAGTGTCCCAGGACAAATCAAGTTCACAGTCAAGGCTCACACTGAGCTGGGACCAGCCTGACTGCAGTGATTTGTTTACTTTTTGTCTTTTTTTAGTTTCCTGTTTCTAAACATGACTAATATAAAATTATGCCACAAAAATCTATCTTTGAATCATCAGGACTCACAATGAATCCTCTGCAGATCCATATTTAAATTCAGCTCTTCCAGTACTTTTCCATATCCTTCCAGAGCTGTGGCTTTGATACCTTTGCAGGAAGTCTCTGCTTGGACAGTTTTACTAATATTTGTAACATGTTATCTTGAAAGTAGCTCAAATAGAGGATAAAGCAAAGTTTCTGATTTCCCTTCTCTTTTTTGTCCCCTCTTTGTGTAAGAGTCTCATTGCTAGACCATTTGAAAACGTTTCAGTTAGTCCATGATGAGCTGGTTTAGATTATATGTCCTAATGAATGCAGCATTGTGGTTCCTGTGATACCTGCATTCTTGCACCTAAGAGGATTTTTAACAATTCCCAGCTTCTGAGATAAATACACAATATTAGATGATCTTCCTATTTTTGTATTAAAACAAGCTAACAGGAAAAAAATCTCTAAGAATGCAGAGGTGTCTGCTTATGGTAAATATGGCCTGCAGCTGGTAAGCGGGACTGAGTTCTTTTGACTCAGACTAAAGCTGTGTATCAGCATCCTGCTGATTTATTCATTGGTGACCTGCTGTGTTCTGAGGCTACTTTCACTGCTTTAAATATGTTTATCTCTTCTCATGCCTCAGTCCCTTTGTTAAAATATGACTAATAATTCGGAATACAAATTGTTTATTTTTTTCTCTTATGAAAACATGATATGGTGTCAGTTGTTAAGAGTGCTATGCAAGCTTTTCTTGTGCAAAAAAAAAAAAAAATCATATGACAGGAGCTTGTTTGTTTTGACTTAAGGGATGCTACTTGCTGGTTTCCTAATCCGAAATACCCCATTCATCAGTGACTTTGTCCAGATAAACCTACGCTGGTCTGCAGCACTGAGGAATATTGCTCTTTCCATTATCTTGACCCGAGCAGGACTCGGCCTGGATCCAAAGGTATGGCACCAGCCATTTGTGTGTGGCAGACTATATAACAGCAATCAAAAAAAAATTGAATAATTGGTTCCATTAAGAATATTGAACTGCTCCGTCTTGGAGCATCTGCAAATTAGATCATTACAGAAAGTATAATTTCTGTTGTATAATTATATGCATGTTAATATTGGCAGTTGGATTTGTAAAGTAGGCAAGCAATAAAAAAAAAAACCTGAAGAAAACTGATTTTATGATTTATTTTATTTTCCTGAATTTTGTGAGTGGAACATATTGAGGATGTGTGCACTGTCATGGTCTGTCAGGAAGAGTTTACATCCCTGATAAACTCCCTGTTAGTTTATACTCAAAATTTGAAGCAATGCAAGGGATCCCCAGTCCTTGAAAGAGAATGTTTTTGTGTGGCCAGAAATCCAAAAATCCCAACCAAGCAAAGAAGTGTAAACCCTGTGGTACTTTTTTTACTTTTTTTTAAATTGCCATTTTAATGCAAATATGTTAATTGCAAAGATTAATCCTGCTGCACTACCAATGATTCTCATCACAGTGGAGCCCATAGCAGTCCTGTGAACAAAAAAATAGTCTCTGCACCCTAACAAACATGATACTTCATCAACTGGTGAAAGCAAGGTTTTGCTTATTCAGAATGAGCTGGCTGGAGTAAAGCTGTACCATACTGGCCCCTCCCTGTTGAAGGAACCACTCAGAGTTTATATAAAACTTAGATAAAGTATGGGTAAACTCATTTCTCTTAACCAAGAAAAACTACAGAGTTGCCAATACTGCAGTTACTTAGGAAAATAAGGTTTTGTCAATATTGAAAAATACCTGTTTTCCTATATTATCATCATTTTATTTTCCAAGACATTGAGGCTTGTATCAGCATGAACTGTGTGTTTTTAGACACAGCCTGGACAGCCCAAGTTCTGTGAGACTGCATTTCTTTCTATTCATAACAACTTTTTTTTGCTGAGGGAACTTCTTTTTTGACTTCTTTTTCTTACATGTGGTAAGAAAACTGTCACTTGGACTCTGTGTGTGGCAATGCTTTGATGCAGTTACAGTTGTTCCTCATGTAAATGAAACTGAAAACAAAGAAGTCAGTTTCTCTTCTCAGTCCTGATTATGCTGGGATAAACTGGACTGGTAAAACATGGAACTCACTGATTTTTATTTCTTTTTTTTTTAATTTAATGTCAAAATTAAGGACCTGTCCTAGCAGACTCATTAAAGACAGCTGTTAGAAGCAAATATGCCAGTTTAGGAAATTTTTTTAAAAGTTGCTGAGCCAAAAGGAGCTTAATCTCTGAATATCAAGTGAGAGACAGCTGAAAGATGAACTTCTCCTTGTGCCAAGTTGATGTAGTTCTACAGCTTTTCATGATTTGTTCATAGATTTTGGGGCGATTTGGGGGGCTGCTCATGCAACTTCTGGGATTATAGTAAAATCTTTTATGGATAGAGCAGATGACAAGAAGCCAAACAGAAATTTCTGTTACTCCTTCCTGTGACATTCAGGAACCTTATTAAACCTAGATTCACTGCCACACTTGAAATTTTATATCCAAATCCGGCTGGGCTTGGGCTTCTCTCTAGTTTAGGCCATGTCATGTCCTATAGTGCAGCTCAGACAGGATTCTTTAACAAGCCACATCAGATTGTAAATGTTTTTCCTCTGTGAAGCCAAAGGTACTGACACTATTGTATAATTGCAGGCTCTTAAGAAGCTCAAAGCTGTCTGTTTACGGCTTGCTTTCGGACCGTGCCTCTCAGAAACAGGCACAGCTGCTGTCCTTGCCTACTTGTTCCTGCATTTGCCATGGCAGTGGGGATTTATATTAGGGTAATGTACTGCCTTTTCTCCTGTATGACAAAAGTGCTGGTTTCCAGGCTGCAGCTCAATGATCCAACTGTGGTTAGTTCTCTGTGCCAAGCAGAGGCCTCAGTTCACTGCCATTTGGGAAGCTGTGCTCAGCCCCTCTGGTCTTCTGCTTACCCTTTATGTCTGGCTCTGTGGCTTATTTAAAGGTCATATTTTCAGGCTGCGGAGGAGTACTTGCAACATTATTTTTCTGTGTTTGTAACCTGAGCACTTGAAGAAGGAAAAATGGTGCAATCCCTGAGTCTTGAACCACAACAAAGGGGGCTTTTAGGGACAGCAAATGATACTGCAGTTTGGAGAATCTTCATACTGGAATCCAGAACTTCCACACAGAGATGCACATAGGACAGCCTTCCTGTCACAAGTCAAGGACAAGGATATGGCATAGTACATTTTAGAGTAACATCCTTGAAGAGAAGAACTTTTCCATCTAGTCCTGTTATCTAAATTGGTAGACTTGGGCCAGACCCATACACTAGAACAAGATGGGTGAACTCCTGCTCTGACACATGCTGAATTTTATGAGAAGGAGCTGGGCTGCTGAGTCATAAGCACGTCTAGACCAGGTTTCCAAATGGGACAATCCAGGCGTCTATCAGGGAGCATAACTGGCCTGCAGTGGAAACTCCAGTTTTAGTCTGTGGAACCCTTTACTTTTAATGTTACTGAGTTGGACAGAAAGTAAGAGCTGATTGCAGATCTGCATAGAAATATCCCTGCTTGTAATTAGAGGGGAAAGGTTAAGAAAGCACTTTACATAAAAGTCTACTTATTTATACTTCAAAAGAATTAAGGTCAGAACATTTGGAAGTTTTTTTCAGTTCAGTGCTTTCTTTTTGAGATGCTGAACCTGTGTGTTTTCAGTTTTGTTCTAGGTGCAGTCTCCCCTGCTGTGGTTGTTCCCTCCATGCTGATTTTACAAGCTGGGGGATATGGGGTGGAGAAAGGTGTCCCAACTTTGCTAATGGCAGCTGGCAGCATCGATGACATTCTGGCTATCACAGGCTTCAACACTTGTCTTGGGATGGCTTTCTCTTCCGGTATGCTGGTTAATCTGTACATGATGAAATGCAGAACAGTGATATTTTGGAGACTGTGTGCTCTGTTACGGCTGACTGGTTTGTGACTTAATGGCATCTCGTTATAAAATTCATGTATAGCCTTAAATACTGAGATGGAAATTACTCATGTTCAAAAGTTGATGTAACGTGGTCAGCTCTGAGTTGTGGGTCACAACAACTTTCAGAGAACATTTTTTCCTGACTGCTCCCTTAGCTGCCAAGTCTGGGCCCTGCATGCCCAACATGATGCTTTAAAATTTCACTGGGTTTGGCAATATTCTGACAGTGGCTCTTTCTCTGACTTCTCTTGCACACTTTCTTAGCATGAGCTTTCAGAGAAAGAAAGTTGCACCATCCAGTTCCTTCAAGCCCATAGGCTCCCTCCTGAACTCCTTTGCCCCAAGTAATTTAAAGCAGACACTGTCCTGGAATCACCCTCATAGGTCTAGAGCATGGTTTGAGTGAATGTCTGTGGATGGCTTACTGAATGTGTTTTCCTTTTGTGAAATAGGTTCTACTCTGTACAATGTGCTCCGTGGAGTGCTGGAGGTCACTGTTGGCATAGCAGCTGGGGGAATTCTGGGAATGTTTGTTCGGTATTTCCCAAGCCATGATCAGGTAAAAATTTTTTAAAAAATTGAAGTGATTCTTTGCTAAAGGATTCTTTTCTTTAGTTATTAATTTCCAACTTCCTGTGAAGCTGGTTTTGGGGAAAGCTTTTACAGTGTTAGCACCTTCCAGATTGCAAAGCCTATCACGATCAAGTGAGGATGTGTTTTAAAGGTGATTACTTATTTACTGCACCAATAATAATGTATGATCTCATTGTCCTTCCTGATGGAAGTTTGGAATCCAGCTCACCATCCTGCTGTCATTGAAGGTAGTGGAAATGGAGGAAGGGTCTGATACCCATTTCAGACAGTAAAATAATAATTTATAAGATTGATGCAAGACACGTGTACTTCTTTAAGATGTATCCAGTAGGACTAAGATTAAAAATTCATAAAGCAGATGTATTAGAGGCTTAAAGTGATTGATCATATCATTAGTATTAACTAGAATGTGTTACTTTCCATAAAAATTACATCTATAGAAAGTGTTAGATGAATTTTCTATTGAGGGGTAATTAAATGAACAGAAAATTGTGGAAGAATGTAGATACACTCTGGACTACCAAAGTCAGTATTCAGAGCATCTTTGCCCTCATTGGCATCAAATTTTGTTATTAAATAATGTAAGAAGTGTGGTACAAGAGCTAAAGAGTTAGAAAGAAATGAGGAACAATGGTAGATAACTGTCTGCTGTGAGACTGAATGAAATAAAACTAGATTTTTCCTGGCAAATGTTTGACTTGTCCTTAAAAACATCTGGTGGCAAAGATTTCGCCTTTCCTTGGATAAACTGTTGTAATACTTGACTACACAGGTAGAAAATCCTGCTATCACAGAGTTGAGGTAGAGCTGCTGGAACAGAGCATCATGTTTCTTGTGATAAGAATAGCCTAGTGGCAATAAGAACTTGGGTGAGCAGAGGGAAAAAAAAATTACATTTTCAAAAATTGTATTCTTAGAAATTAATGTCTGCAAAAAATTCTTCAACTGAGCAGTTCAAGTCTCACTTGGAAGCTTTGATTCCTTCAGAATTATTAATTTTTAATTTTCTTTTCAAGTACTTATTTTCAAAATTAACAGGAGTAACTTTTTCCCCCATTTCTGAAAGAAATTCACTTTTATGTTTGTCTCTTTCCTTGGTTGCAGGCATCTTTGGCATGGAAGAGATCGTATTTTGTACTTGGACTGTCCATGTTTGCTGTTTTTGGCAGCATCTACTTTGGCTTCCCTGGATCAGGAGGGCTTTGCACATTGGTCTTAGCTTTTGTTGCAGGTGTGGGATGGTCTGATGAAAAGGTGAATGTTTACATAAGAAGCATACCATATCCAAAGTCTGGTGAATGTACAGCCTGACAGAAGCTTGAATTTCTGTCAGAAATGGTAATGGTATATTTGTGAAGCGTTAGAGGGTGTACAGATTTAAAAAACAAACAAACAAGCAAAAAAAAAACCCAAAACCCCACCAAACCAAGCAGCACATTCTGCATTTGTTTTGGAAGTCTTTAGCATTTCCTGTGACAGAAAGTTACCATGTATGTCAGTAGAGCAATAGGTATGGCAGTACAGAGCCTGGGATACTGATTGAGAAATGCTCAGCTTTTCTTAGACATCTTAAGCCGTACGAAGGAGACTTAGGCACCTGACAGTAGCAATCCAAAGCTTCAATTCCCAGCTCTGTGGGTGTGCACAGTCACTTTATGGTGAAGTTTACAAATGGGTGTTCAAGATGCAGTTGTGGACATGGCCTGAATACCCTGAGGGTTTGCTCCCTGTGGTTTGGAGGGGGTGAAATGAAAAGCAATGATTAACTATCTTCTTTCATCTTTCCCAAATCCCAGCCAGTGTAATTTGGATAAGCTAGAGAGCAGAGTGCACACAATAAATTATGTGAGGCCATATAAAAACCATACAAAAGACTGCTTTTTAGTCACTGTCTCTTAGGTACTAGCCTTCTTCATCTTACTGCTGCTGCCCCACTGCCTTTCTGTACTGCCTCTTTTGCTTGATACCATCTGCATTTAATGTTTTGAGGGCATCTTTCTCTCCATAGCTATAGCTTTGTGACATTCAGTAGAAGGGGAAGAAAAAGGAAAGGGGGTTAGATATGGTAGAGTCCATGTTATTATCCTCATCTTGACCCTGACTTACAAAGATACCAAGGTTTGTTATAACAATGAAAAGAAACTAAGATTGTCAAATTTTAAAGGATGAAAAACTCTTCTTGGGACTTAACTAGTTAAGGACATTGCAGCTGATAAAGCTCTCTACTGAAAAGCTTTTAAATCATTATAGGAGAAAGGACCTTAAAAGAGTATATGCAGTGTATAAAGGCTTAGTTTAAATTCCTTTGATCTGTGAATGAAGCTTCATGACCTTAAGTATATTGATGTCAAATGCCTTAGCTCTTTTTTTCTCAGATAGAGATAGAGGTGTCTGTGTACCCAATATATTACCAAGGTTTTCCTGCTGAGCTTCTCAAAGGCCACTACCTCCCACTTTCCGTGGTGGAAGGCACTTGACAAACACTGTCTGCAGAGAACAATGAACATTAGATCTATTCCTGGAACAGTCATATGGGCAGTAAATAGGCTGAAATCCATAAAGAGGAGATTTCTGGGGCTTTTTTTTTTTTAATTTAATTTTATTTTGACAGAACTGAAAAGGGTGAAATAACAAGAAGAAATGAGGTAAAAAATGTTTATATATATATACACACATATATATATATATATATCCATCCCATTTTCTTCAAGGTTACAGACGTTTTTGTGTTACTGTAACCTACCATTCCTTGACAGAAGAGCAAGAGTTGTTGCAGGATCAGTCCCAAAGAGAATACCAAGGATGGAACATGTCTAGGCCCTGAATTCATTATTAAGTGACAGAGCACTGCACTTAGATTTTCCAGCACTCCTATCTGAAGGTTCATTTGCTGTTTCAGAACCCACTTAATTAAAAGACAAGTGGTATTTGATATGCTGTTTGTACCTTGTCGTGTAAGTGGAAGATTCCTGTTTACCATGGCAGCAGTTATTTTAGGAAAATTGTGTAAAGTTCAAACGTGAGGAGAAAAGATGGTTTTGCCTTTATACACTATATTGCAGTGGGAAGTTCAGCACTTCTTCCTGCTCTGTGACTTCAGACTTGCTCAGACTGACTTTGCTCCTGCTGACATGGTGAGAGGCCTCTGACTGAGTGCAACACGAACAGAGTTAGGTCGTGTCTGAAACTTGGGAGAGTCTGACTCTGCTCAGCTACAAACAGGAGAACATGTTTCAGCATGCAGTTCCCAAAGGCTCAGAAACATCATGGCAAAGGTGTTGAAATGACATCTTTCTAAATACTGAAAATCAACAATGCTTTATTTTCCTTCTCTTGTCTGCAAACTGCTCTGTTACTCTTCAAACACCAGTGCTTTTTATTTCTCCTCTCAAGACATCAAACATTTATTTACTAGGACAGCTAGAGTCAGTCTGACCTTCAAAAGGTGTGTAGCTGATTTTGAATGTTTTAGGTCAAAGGAAGAGGAGCAATTCTGAACAATGTTTATGGAACATTTTCACTTTGGCCTATGATTACTTAACTGTTGTGGTCTGCTTGGCCATCTTTTTGTGAATTTACAGATTAGTTTTGTTTCTATTGCAGAGGGAAATTGAAAAAATTGTGGCAGTTGCATGGAATATCTTTCAACCTTTTCTTTTTGGTTTAATTGGAGCAGAAGTATCCATTACATCTCTTAGGCCTGAAACTGTTGGTAAGATCATTCACAAATTATCCAGCCTTTATTACTGGCTTTGAAAGAATCTCTGTAAAGAAATCTAAAACAAAGCAGACTATGGCTGACCCCGCCCCCCCCCCCCCAAAAAAATCAAACAACCAGAAGCACCTCTGCACAAAATTACTGAGAAGTGTTTGTCTGTTGCAGGGCTCTGTGTTGCTATATTAGGCATTGCCCTAGTTGTGCGAATCATAGCAACGTTCCTGATGGTGTCTTTTGCTGGGTTTAATTTCAAGGAGAAGGTATTTGTCTCACTGGCATGGATTCCCAAGGCCACTGTCCAGGTAAACAATCCAACATCACTTTCATTCCAAGCTAAATCTATTTTCTTTAGCACAGCTCCCTGTAACTAGCAGAGTGGTAAGCAGGGAAAGGTTCAGGCTCAGTGACAGCTAAATGTAGAATATTGACTGTTCATACTCTAAAACACTCGAACTGCTTAAAAAGTGTGTGGAGAACTTTATATGTGCAGGTATTTTGCTAGCATCCAGGGTTTACTCTTAGTAATGACTGAATTGTACATATACCATAGGAAATTTAACCATTTCTCAGCCATTGCTGATTATTGTGCCTTTACATTCAGATTCTGAGAACTCCCAAACGTAAAAGCATTTCCCTCTTACACGTGAAGTGTCTGCAAGGACAGTCACATCCCAACTCAGAATGGGTTTCAGTTTGTGATTATTTTGGTAAGGAGTAGTCTGAGAGCTATATTAATAGAGTTGCCTCAGACTGGCTACATTCCTGCTCCTTTATTTCAGTGATTGTCAAGTCATTTAGACTTTGCCTCAGTAGCATGATTACTTGCAAACAAAAGTTGCTAATCAAAACAGGCAAGGCTTATTACATTATCAGTGAATTAAATTTTCAGAAGCTGCTACTAGTTGACTATTGTCAGGATACATTCTCCAAATGTGGCATTTTCACAACTGCAATACACAATATACTGGTCTATTTCATTAATCACACATTGTCCAGAAATGAGGATAAAATGGCAGCTAAGCAATGTTCTTCACAGGAGGAAACCACACAGATAAACTCATTAGCTTAGGAAATTCCAAGCATAGTCAAGTGAAAATTGTTCTCTCAGGTGTATTATAATGTTTACTTTGCTATGTACAGCCTAAAACAAACAGGCTGAATGTACTAAAAGTGTCAAATTTATGTGAATTGTTGACTATTGATAGGTTCCCATTTTTCCTCATTCAGTGCCAAAGCTTCCTTGCTCCATCTCAGCAATGTTTTCTTCCCTGCAGGCTGCAATAGGTTCTCTTGCCCTGGATACAGCAAGACGACATCAAGATGAACAACTGGAAAAGTATGGAATGGATGTACTGACAGTAGCTTTCTTGGCCATCTTGATCACTGCTCCAATTGGAGCCCTGGTTATCGGCTTGGCAGGGCCCAGACTTCTGCAGAAGGCTCAGACAAATAGCAAGGAGGATGAGGAAGGTGCAGAGGTTGGAGAAGAGGCAGAGGCCTGTGAACCTTCGTAAGACAGACAACTACAGCACTCTGGTCCTTCAACCCTTACACTTCGGTTGTGTAAATATGGCATGTCTAATCTTGCTGGAGCAACCTAGAACTATCAGTCACCCCTGCTATTTTTAAAGCAGCCCTGGTGGAGTTCTATAAAATATTTTTATGTGATGATGGTGCCTTGAGATGAAATAGCTGAACATAAAGTGAATAAGATGACCTGGCAGTGAGTCACTGAGAAGTTAGCAGTCAAGAGTTACTTGAAATGTGTGGGTGGTGAGGCCAAGGAGAGGGTCAGAACTGTTAAGGCATGGAGTCACGAGGTAGAATTTAAGCAGAAAAAAAATGGAGACTAATGTGAATAACTTCTTGATGGTTGAAACTGGGCTATGAGATGACAAGTTATACAACTCAAAGAAAGCAACTTCAAAGTTAGAGGTTGCTGACACATAGTGAACAAGTCCTGCCATCAGCTGGTTGATGATGGGTGATTGATCAGTGATTCCCTCTCTTTCTTCATTTGTGTTCCAAAACTTGCCTTTCCCTATTGCTGTTCTCCCTCACAGCTGAAGCACTCCTTTGTGCCTTCAAGGACTGTCAGCTGTGGTCGTACAGCAAGTGGTACTTACATGCTCAAAGAGACAGTTGGGGCCGTCATCGACTGGTAATAAAGATGTCGGTGCCAGCAGAAAAACCGACGGAGCCTGAAAATGAGATGAGGGCTGTGGGATGGCTGTAAGGACTGGGGGAGGGTTGTATGGGATTGGGATGGCTGCTTCTTCACCTGTGTACCTCAGCCTTCACACCACAGGATGTCAAGAGAGAGAAGCTGTTCTATAGCCAGGAGTAACCTCTGTTGATCAAAATCCTGCGCTTGCCTTTTAGGTTTGGTATCACTTGACAGATACCAGCAAATCTGTCTGGCTCCAAGTAAGTTGTTGGTAACTCCATTCTGAGGCACACGGTCAGTACAGCATCCATCAGAAACAGGAAGTTACTTTGTTATTTTTTTTGAAAGGCTATTAGATTGTGCCTGTAACTGAGGTGGACAACACTCCTGCAGATTTCTACTCTACAGTTCACTGAACTCATTTTACAGGATACTGTGTAGAATACATTTGATAGTGTCTAGATTTTGGCATTAGTAAGAATGAATCATCTGTATTTTAGATTTTACATTTTTAATATTCAAAACAAAATATGTACAAAAACACTTTTAACTACTTAAATTCTTCTAATGTTGACACTGTACTATTTCCAGAGAGTCATATGCCATACAAATGAGCTGTATATGTAGCTGTACATGTATGCCTTTGTATAAGCCTTACTCTCTAAGCAAAAAGAAAGCTTCCTGAGGAAATACTTAAATTTCATAGCCTGCAGTTCCGGCACAATGGTAAAAATATCAGGAAATTCTTTGGTAAGTTTTCTGTTAACAGTTGTCGGGTACATTATATTTCTCTAACTGTGCACACTGCTGTTCTTTCTGCTTCCTTGGGAATGTACCGTCTTTAGTTCAGTTCAAGTTTGTCTTCTGACCCGAAAGGAAGATGCTTTCAAACTGTACATGATGGGTTTGATGCTGGAGCAACGGTTAAGAGTGCTGTGGTTGGTCATTATTGTGACATACCTGGCCTTCTGTGCCTGTCCTGCCTACTTCAGGTGCACTCCTAGTGTCCTCCTGGCCCAGTCCTGTTCAGTATCTTGACTGATGATCTGGATAAGGGGATTAAGTGCGCTGCCAGTAAATTCATGGACAACACAAAGCTGGGTGGCAGTGTTGATCTGCTGGAGAGCAGGAAGTCTCTGCAGGGGATCTGGGCTGGCTGGATCAATGGGCTGAGACCAACAGAATGAGGTTCAACAGGGCCAAGTGCTGAGTCCTGCCTTAGGTCACAGCAGCCCCAGGCAGTGCTACAGGCAGGAGCAGAGTGACTGGGGAAGCTGCCCGGTGGAAAAGGACCTGGGGGTGCTGGTGACAGCAGCTGAACATGAGCCAGGGCGAGCCCAGGGGGCCAAGAAGGCCAAGGGCATCCTGGCCTGGATCAGCAGTGGTGTGGCCAGCAGGAGCAGTGATTGTCCCCTGTACTGGGCACTGGTGAGGCCACACCTCGAGAGCTGTGTCCAGTTCTGGGCCCCTCACTACAGGGAGGACATTGAGGTGCTGGAGCGTGTCCAGAGAAGGGCAGCGGAGCTGGGGAAGGGTCTGGAGCACAAGTCCTGTGAGGAGTGGCTGAGGGAGCTGGGGGTGTTCAGCTCGGGGGGCACCTCACTGCTCTGCAACGCCCTGGCAGGAGGGTGTAGCCAGGTGGGGATTGGCCTCTTCTCACACACAGCCAGTGACGGGATGAGAGGACAGAGTCATAAGCTTTACCAGAGGAGTTTTAAGTTGGACATTGGGAGGAATTTCTTCACAGAAGGGGTTGTTAAACAGTGGAATGGACTGCCCAGGAAGATAGTGGAATCATCTTCCCTGGAAGTGTTTAAGTGAAGACTGGACATGGCACTGAGAGTCATGGTCTGGTTGACATGGTGGTCATAGGTTGGATTCAGTGATCTCAGAGGGCTTTTCCAACCTCACTGATTCTATGATTTTGTGAAGTGCATGTAGTTTTAATAGGAGGTTAAGTAATTGAAAATTGTAATGTTGGTAAAGCTAACTGACAAGGTGAGGAAATAGTGTTCAGTTCATCAGTAACTGTCTATAAAATAGTTCTACTTGAGTAAAACTTGCAGGTGTTCACTTTTTTGTAGAGCTTTATAAAAAGTATAATCTTCCCACAGGGGTCACTATGCCAAATTTGGAATGTGTTCAATAACAGAAGTGTGATGTTTCAAGGATTACAGCCCTTTAAATTTGGACACAACCTTAAGTACGAAAGCAAACCTCTGATGAAGAGCTCTTGTTTGTGATAGCCTCCAATACTGCCTCCCCAGCAAAACAGCATGTCATAAATGGGGTTTACCTGTTCCTTTAACCTCAGTGCACTTTGTTATATATCACTTCCACAATTCTGAGTGCCTGAATAAGCTACACCAATGAAAACTTGTCATCTTTTTTGTTAATCTGAGATTGAATAGATTTTTCTTTCCCTTTCTGCTATTTTATGTCAGTATTTCTCATGAGACCCCTTTCTCCCAGCTTTCATTAAATCTTCAGAAAGTATCAGGTTGAAGCTATTACATAGACCTGCAGTTCTAAAATTAAAAGCTTTAATGCTTTATAATGTTCCCTCTCCTTATCTTCCAGAAAGAAAGAAAACACTTGCATCTTTTCGTTAAATGATGTATCAGGACTAAGAACTTAAGACACTAGGGTTTTTTATGAAGTATCATGACAGTTTCAGCTGCTTTTGAATGGCAACTAACTTTGAGAGATTAGATTTCAGTTTTTATCAGAGTACGGGTGAAGAGTGACATTAAAGACCACCTTCCTTTTAACAAAATGCCTTGAAAATCATTACTGAATAATGCATAAATTCAAACCAATTAAATCATTATGCCATGGTATTCACTTCTTTGCAGGAAATAAAGAGCACAATGTGCAGTAACTGATAAGCAGAGTCCCGCTGTCATGCAGACATAATCACAGGCATAGTGTGGGGGAAGTCTGAGCGTGCTGTTCCAGGAGGTTCACAAGAACCTCTGCAGCAGAAAGGTCTGCCAGCAGAAAGTGTTCCCAGCAGCCAGCATCTGGCAGTTACAGCAGGCAGCATATGGGAAAAGACAGAAATTGTCTATCTGCAAGCAGGGAGTCAAACAAGCCAGGGGATGTGATGATGATGTGATTATAATCACTGCTTACTCTCTCTTTTTCAGCCAAACCGAGCTTTTTATGCAATTTAAACTGAAGTCTAAAATTAACTGTGAAAAGTGTCATGGTGTAATAGAGCAACAAAATGGATGACAGTTTCTGTATCTTGCTTTTTAAATAAGAGTGCAAGAGATCAGATTTTTGGTCAATTGCACTTCAATTATATTTACTTTGTCTAGTAGTTGCCCCAAATCAAGCACCTTTCTCTAAACCTGCTTTACAAGTTTATTTGTATTCTATTATAACCATGTTCAAATTAATTATGAAAAGAAAGGAAAACATTGCTGTTCTTGTAGAGTAAATAGGTGTCACAAAATGCTGATTTCAATTTCCCCAGATTTTCCACCAAGACTGAAGACCTGGTCCTATGACCTCAGTTCTGGTCTTTACAGCAAATTTATTCCTGTGTATGGAGCTTCCCAATTAGATTAGAAAAGTCAGGTAATTGGTTCAGCTTGTCAGTTGCTGGTGAGATACAGAGCTGCACAGGCACTTTAGCTATCTCAGTAGACTTTAGATAGAACAGTTCAGTAAATTCTTTCAGATTTTCTATAGGAAGTTCTGTGGACATGAGACAGTATTACCTTGACAGATTTTGAAATCCAAGGAAATGATTATTTATCTTGGTTGTGATTCTCATTGTATTATCTTGTGGAGATTACTAAAATGTCCTTTCTACAAAAGAACTCTGACTTGCTCTTGCAACACTACAACTTTGTTCCATGCCCTTACAGATATAAGCACAAACAAAAAAACTGTCCCTGTTTATCCTATAGCCATGTTTGTATATTGCTGTTAAACTATCTCATCTAAGAGCAAGTAGGAAGAAAAAAAATAATTACTTAAGCTGTGTTAAAGATGGAATGAAGAGGTTAAACCTTACACTGTTCTTCTCTTCAAGTTTTTTGGGAGAAACAAAACCATTTTGCTGTATTACTCACTTGAATAAGGTTTCTCTTAATTTAACAGGTTTGGTTGTGATTTCAGAGGAAACCAAACTGTGTGAATATAGAAGTATCCTGATAAAAGCTGGAAGCACATAAAGGCCTGTGTCTAAGTCTGCTACAGTAGACTGTGGTTTTTAAACCCTGAAAAAAAAAAGTCAAAGACAGGGCTTTACATTTCACAGTAATTTCTTCACCAAACCCAAGAATTGGGGATTGGTATTCTATATACATCTGTAAGTGAAAACAGTGTAAGACACTTACCTTTATATATTTTTCTCTGTTAAACATGTTTATATCCTAATGGATGAGCAAACCATAAATGTATTGAGGTAAGACCACCATGAAGCATTTAAACAATAAACATTACGCCGTGGTTCTGTTACACACTTTGTAAAAGCAGGCATGTAACA